CTCCCTTGGCGCCACTGTCTACTACATGTCTGTCTACTATGATTCCCTCTGTGTCAACATTGACCGTACCCGACCCTTTCACAGTACCATCATCTCCTACCCCACCATCATCTCCTACACCACATATGACCTTCACCTACCATATTGATCCACTCATTACCCATGACCTCCACATTGACGAGGAGGGAGAGGGCCAGGTCCATGCACCTACCAGAGGGACAGGTAGGGGTAGAGGTTGTGGCGGCCGTCGTGGTGTAAGTAGAGGGCGAGGGCGAGGGTGAGGGCGAAGGCGACGCCAAGCAATAGACCATGACAATAATGCAGCGGATGATGGCGTTTCACAGCTTAGTGCCGTATGTGAAGGTGTGCCGGAGGTGGTATCAAATGATTGTACTGCAGCCATTGGTGATGTGCAGCCAACTTCTACAGAAGCGGGCGAGGGAGTCGTACGTGCAGCAGCACAAGATATACAGAGAGTATATAGTAAGAGACCCAGGAGACAAACCCATGGAAGGGGTTGTGGAACAGGGTGAAAATTAGGACATTAGGAACAACCAACATTGGTAAGTATATTCAAACATTATCTTCAGGTGGTGTTTTCACTTGGATTAGTTTACATTGTTTAAGTTGTGGTGTCTTCAGGGGCTGTGGAACAGGGGGAAAATTAGGACATTAGGAACAACCAACATTGGTAAGTATATTCAAACATTATCTTCAGGTGGTGCACTTGGATTAGTTTACATTGTTTAAGTTGTGGCTTATTATATAGTTCTGGCTTTTGGCTTATCTTTTCTTGTAATTGTGGCTTATTTTATAAGATTCTAGATGCTGCGGCTGCTGCTATTTTGGTTGCTGGTTGCTGGTTGCTGGTTGCTGTGTTGCTGGTTGCTGGTTGCTTGCTGTTGCTATTTTTGTACTACTTGCTGTGTTGCTGGTTGCTGGTTGCTTGCTATTTCTTGATTCTGGTTGCTACCGGCTGTGTGTTGCTGCTGCTGGCTTCATGTTGTTGTGGATGCGTCGTGATGGTGTTCATACAGTTGGAACATTTACTTTGTTATTATGTTTGAAATAGTTATTGTGATACTATATGTATTTCCTGGACCTAATTTTCGCCTTCCATGTGGGATGTACATGGTTTATTCCGTAAATAGGTCTTGTTTATATTTGGTTGTACTTAGTGTTGGGTTTGTTCTTGCTCCTCATCTGCTTCTGTGCTCACACTACAAGAAATCGCACCTTTGGCGAGCATTTTTGGCGACTATAGTGCTTGCTTTTTGGCGACCTAATTTTAGCATTTTTGGCAACTATAGTGCTTGGGTAGGAAAAATGCTTTTTGCCTGGCAAGGGAAGAAATTTGATTATGATATAACATGTGAAATTGCTCTCAAATATAGTTATTCTTGCAGTTAATTTTCAGTGGATGTAGTTCTTATTTCTAACAAGACTTTTTTGTGGAAAATTATGATGTCTTTCAGCTTCGCTTTTCTGGTGATCTTCTAATGGAACTGGGTGCTGGGATAGAATTGGTAACTGCAGCTGTGCCACACCTTTTTCAGCCTTTAGCTTGTGTTGCCAATGTAGCCAAGGTTTAACTTCTCTCTCTCTCTCTCTCATCCCATTTTATAAATGTGGTCAATGTGTTGAATTAGCTTTGTAGCTTTACATTTATATTTTATTTCTTGTAGAATGTGGGTGCTGTTACATTAACATCTACTCGCACTCTAATCTATAAAGCCTTTGCTAAAGAAGAAAACATTGGGGATGTTACTGCAAAGGGAGAATGTGTGGGCAATATTGCCGATCTAGTATGATTCTCCAACTTCTTTTGCAATTTCCAGAAGTTTGTGTTTGCTGTGAGCTGGATGTTTAAGCCTTTTGAATTGAGTCTTTTAATTTATCTATACCTGAAACCCCAAAATTCTTTTCAAGAGATTGAAATAAATGCATGAGCTATTGTAACCATGCTACATCCATTGAATTTTATATGAATTTCAATTCCGAAGAAAACATAATCAAGTGCTTGCAAATACAATTGATAATGTGAGGGGCCACTAACTAAGGTTTATAGGACAAATGACATTTATATTAATGCAAATTTGACAGTTATTTGGACATTTACCACACAGGTCACTCTTTATTAGATAGAAGAACTCACCAAGGAGTCTTGGTTATCAAAAATAAGTAAAATTAAAATAATCAAAAGAAGAAAAAAAAGAAATACACAATTAAGAGTAATATTGTCATTCTTTTGTTATTTTGGAGATCATTAAAAAAATTCTTATGTTTCATTTGGATAAAACTTTCAAATGACTAAACAAACAAACAAAAAAATAGTATTTTTTGCTAAGTTGAGTTTCTATTTACTCTCCACTCTGTTACTACCAAATTCAAAGTGCTTGATCTCTGAGGCAAGCATAAAGGGTACTATACAAAGAAGTGATCTCTACAATTAGTCCAATATGAGCCCCTTATCTTTAAATCTAGGTGCAACAATGTGCCTTGTTTGACATCTTCAAATCTTATCTCCTCCTGTCAAAAGATTATTGTCCAAATATGCTGCCTTTCTTATAAAAGAATTGCCAAGGGTGCACAAGCCACACACACACAAATGTTATATCACTGTTTTTTGTTTTTTGTTTTTTTGAAGAAGTAATACACTAGTGGAGCCAATTGAGTTTCTACTTTTGAACTTCTGCGTATTGTGAGAGTAATGACACATTGATGGGCATCACACCTTTTCATGGCAATATGTTATTTCATGTTAAATAAAAGGAAAAACTGAACTACTGCAGCATTATGTTGTGACATTTCTACTTTGGCAATTGATGGTTCTTGGATCAGTGAGCTGAGAATTGGATATAAATTTTATGGTCTTTTGCAGTGTGCATGATGCACATACTTATGCATTGAACATTTTTACTCAGAGCTAATGTTGCTGAACCCTTGTTTTTTGAAGCTTGGAACTGGGTTGAGCATCATTATGGCAAAAACAAATCCCTCCCTACTCACAACATTTGCCTTCCTTTTCTGTGGATACCTTTGTAGCTCCTACCAAGAGGTTGTCTGTTGTATATTAGTAATAATTTTTTGCCCTTTATATACTTTTGTGCCATATGGAACAAAGTGTGTCATTTTTACCTACCAAGTATTCAATTTTTTTGTTTTTGTTTTTGCGCAGGTTAAATCTGTTGTGTTGCGTACGCTGAATCGAGCCAGGTTAAATGTGGCTATAGATTCCTTCCTTAAGACAGGTTAGGACAAGTGCCCCACTCACCTGTGCTGATGGGGTTCTGTTGTTTGATCATCTCACTTAATCATCAAGTCCCATATGCACATAAAATGAAGGCCCTTTTCTGATATCTTGTGGCTTAATTGTGTTGTGTATTTATTTTGCAGGGAGAGTTCCAACACTGGAGGAGGGAAATAGGATGGAAAAAATATTCAGTTTTCCCTAGTCAAAAGAGAGGCTTGTTGTTCTCGGTATGCAGCATGTATATAACAGCACTTGCTGCACATTTTTTGGCGAGTAAAATTAAAATTTGTCGGTGTTGGTTCAAGATACCAGTACGAAAATTTATTAGTCAATAAATATTACTTATTGGCGACTAAATTTAAATTTAGTCGCCAAATATTACTTTTGGCGACTAATATTTTCGTCGCTGTTCACTAATTTCACTATTGCTAGTCTTTTACTATTAATACCATTTTCTCAATTCTAACAGATCGACTTGCAACTCTGTTGGGTTCTCACAGAGAAGCCGTTCACTGACTTACATTGGATGCATAAAGAAAGGACCTGTGATAACTGACTCTAAACTGAAGTGGTAGATACGAAAACTTTTACCCCTCCCTCTCCTTTAAATATATATTTTTGTGTTTTTTTGTTTATGCAATAATGTATATATTTGATGAAGTGCGTATAACTATTCGCAACCTAATTTTTGAGTTTTTTTTCTATTGCAAATATTTCCAGGTATGAGAAATCAAGACATTTGATTGCTAGTGAATACGTCTTGCATGCTTATGGTCCTATCTATGTTCTTTCTGCGGAGGTGGTAGCATCACTGGCAATTGCTAGAAATAACAGGTCTGTCGATAACAATATGTAGTTTATTTTGCATGATCTCTTTATTGTGGTTTATATATACATATATATATATATATATATATTATGTTTGTTTGGTATTGTTCTAGTTAGTCATGTTATCACATTGACATTCATTTGGTGAAGTAGGTTGGTTTCTTGGGTTTTAGGATGTCTAATTGAATGCTAGATGACATTCTATGGAAGAGTTCACATTCTAAGCTTTGAGCAAGGTTTTGTGCTCTTTCTACATGGATTCAAGGTTGAGGCGTACAATTCATTATGGTCATGAGAATGTCTCAAATTCTGGAAATCTATAAGCATATATATTCTGGAAAAAGAGATAACCCGTCGTAATGTGGCCATTCGGACTTTTTCTACCACATATCTGGTGTGGGACTGAGGGTTTAAAACAGAATGATGTGGAAAATTACAATCTTGTTTACTAGAGTCCATTTAAGTACTTTGTAAACCCACTAGTAGGACATTTGTAGCCCTTGTCTTCTTTTTATTTTTTATTTTTTGCTACAGGAAAGCTTGGCCTTCCCAATTATGTGCACTTTTTTATCCTTCCAACTTTTATGGTTTCATATTAATTTTTTAAAGTTGGACAACTTTTTTATTTGCAGCAAATAAAATGTAGTACAGTACATAGTTCCTTAATGCTTACTGGGTTGTTACCTTTCATGATTATAATTTAATCAATTTAAATTCATAAATGATGAAAATGGCTTAAACTTAACCGAAAAATGGCGTTAAGAGGGCGAAATTGCGAAACAGCCCCCCGAACCACCATTCGGATGTCACGGCCACCTTCCCTGTAACAAATAGAACCTGTGACAACAAACGGAATGTAATTAGCACGTGTATGTTGGGAGTTAGAGCCAAAAACGCCTTAAACTTAACCGAAAAATGGCGTTAAGGGGGCAAAACTGCGAAACAGCCTCCGAACCACCATTCGGATGTCACAGCCACCTTCCCCATGACAAATAGGACCTGTGACAACAGACAGAATATAATTAGCACGTGTAGGTTGGGAGTTAGAGCTGAAAACGCCTTAAACTTAACCAAAAAATGGCGTTAAAAGGGCGAAAGTGTGAAACAGCCCCCGAACCACCATTTGGATGTCACAACCACCTTCCCCATGACAAATAGGACCTGTGACAACAGACAGAATGTAATTAGCACGTGTAGGTTGGGAGTTAGAGCTGAAAACGCCTTAAACTTAACCGAAAAAGGGCGTTAAGAGGGGCAAAACTGCGAAACAACCCCCGAACCACCATTCGGATGTCACAGCCACCTTCCCCGTGACAAATAGAACCTATGTCAACAGACATAATGTAATTAGCACGTGTAGGTTGGGAGTTAGAGCCGAAAACGCCTTAAACTTAATCGAAAAAGGGCGTTAAGAGGGCGAAACTGCGAAACAGCCCCCGAACCACCATTCAGATGTCACAGCCACCTTCCTTGTGACAAATAGGACCTGTGTCAATAGACAGAATGTAATTAGCACGTGTAGCTTGGGAGTTAGAGCCGAAAACACCTTAAACTTAACCGAAAAAGGGCGCTAAGAGGGCGAAACTGCGAAATAGCCCCTGAACCACCGTTCGGATGTCACAGCCACCTTCCATGTAACAAATAGGACTTGTGACAACAGACGGAATGTAATTAACACGTGTATGTTGGGAGTTAGAGCCAAAAATGCCTTAAACTTAACAGAAAAAAGGCGTTAAGGGGGCGAAACTGCGAAACTGTGAAACTGCCTCTAAACCACCGTTCAGATGTTACAGCCAGCTTTCTCGTGACAAATAGGACCTGTGACAGCAGACGGAATGTAATTAGCGCGTGTAGGTTGGGAGTTAGAGCCGAAAATGCATTAAACTTAATCGGAAAAGGGCATTAAGGGTGCGAAAAAACAAAAAGGGCGTTAAGGGTGCGAAAAAGCTAATTGATAAACTCACTTTGTTGCTGTATAATTGATATTGTGTGTTATATCCTCATAAATCGTTATTTGCCTATTGTAGTTGAAATCTTTGAAATAACAATATGTTACGCTAAAAGGAATCATTGACTGATTTTTCTTTATTTAGTCTTGCTATATCAGTTGGTATATTCGTTGTGTTATTCATCTAAATTCAACTGAGTTAGTTATCTAATTTTTTCCTTCTCCATAAGCTAAATTACTTGTTAAATAAATTGAACCATATTATGTTTAAACTGCCAATCAAGCTCTCTATTTTTTATTACTTACCTCACTGGTTTTTGTTGCAGATTGATAATGTTGGCATGGATACAGTGATGTTTTTGGGACAGATTGACGATGTTTGCATGGGCGCAATTTACATTATATTTTTTGTTTATGGAAAACATGTAAAGCTGATATGTTTTGTTATTAATATTTTTTTTTTTAGTTCGAATTGTAATTGTTGGTTCGGATAGTATATGTATTTGTTAGATTATACTATGTTTATGGATTCTTATTTTCTTTGATATGTACGGTTAATAGTTAAGTTATGTATATGGTTGAAAATTGAATGCTACAGGTTGTGGAGAAATAGTTTTATTCAATGGTTGAGAATTGAATGAATGAATGGATGGATGAATAATTTTGTATATGCACAGGTTACAGGTGACAGAGAGTATTATTTCTTGTAGTGTTATTTGATGTTTGAACAGGCGTGTTGTTTTTTCTTAATGGGTTGAGCTTCCCAAAAAAACTCCGAGTTAATGTAGACTTGTATTGGGTTGTTGTTATATAGTTTTTTTTTTTTTCATCTTACTCAAATGGGTGAATATAATATTTTTACTCACCAAACATACAAATAGATTTGTATGCAATTTTTTTTTTTTGTTGGGGAGTGCTTTTTCCCTTACAATTCTTTATTAGTTCATCACTTTTTTTATTGAATTGCAATGAGTTAATGAATGTTCTGGATTAATGAATGGACTCTCTCAGATATCTTTAATGCTTTGGAATTTTCACGTTCGGTCTTTGAATTTTCAATAATTAAATTAAACATTAATTAGAGATTTCCACCATAAATTTATTTTAGGTTTAAAAATTAATTAAAAGACCTTCTAAATATTTAATTTGCATTTTAGGATTGACCACCAAAATATTTGAGATTGTAATAAGATTATTATTTAATTATTTACTTAATTTCTATATTCGGGTTCTCACAGAGCAGGTAGCTCAGTCAAAATTTTTCCTCAATAAAGGCTCCTAAAATAGTGACCTCTACGTAAAGAATTTCAATCTCCATCAGGAAAGAAGAAAGAGTCACCTTCCAATTCCTGGAAGTCCAGTCAAAATGATGACTCTAGTAAGGAATGGGGGGGTTGACAGAAAACTAAACTTGGGAGCTGGACAAACAAGCTCAAAGCCAAATGGTTGGTCCAGTTGGGGGAATACTAAAGTTCATATAGACGAACTACCGCCTTCAACAACACAGAAAACAGAACAGGTAGCTCAGTCAAAAGCTTCCCTTAACTGGAGCTCCTCAAATAGTGACCTCTACGTAAAGAATTTCAATCTCCATCAGGAAAGAAGAAAGAGTCACTAGACAATTCCTGGAAGTCCAGTCAGAATGATGAGTGTAGTAAGGAATAGGGGGTTAACAGAAAACTAAACTTGGGAGCTGGACAAACATTACCCAAAAACAAGTGGTTGGTCCAGTTGGGGGACTAATAAAGTTTAGACAGACGAACTATCGCCTTCAACAACACAGAAAACAGAACAGGTAGCTCAGTCGAAAGCTTTCCTTAACTAGGGCTCCTCAAATAGTGACCTCTACATAAAGAGTTTCAATCTCCATCAGGAAAGAAGAAAGAGTCACCGGACAATTCCTAGAAGTCCAGTCAGAATGATGAGTCTAGTAAGGAATGAGGGGTTGACAGAAAACTAAACTCGGGGGTTGGACAAACATTACCCAAAAACAAGTGGTTGGTCCAGTTGGGGGACTAATAAAGTTCAGACAGACGAACTACCGCCTTCAACAACACAGAAAACAGAACATGTAGCTCAGTCAAAAGCTTCCCTTAACTGGGGCTCCTCAAAATAGTGACCTCTACATAAAGAATTTCAATCTCCATCAGGAAAGAAGAAAGAGTCACCTTCCAATTGTGAGAAAAAATAAAATTTCATATATATTTTGTAAAAAATTGTTAGCCTATCTAACAAACTAGTTCTATTATTTTATAGGACTCTATCTATCTAAACAAACACATAATTTTTTTTCCTTTTTCTTTCACTTTTCTGTATGATTGCATTCACTTTCTTTTTTCATGTATTTTCTATTATATCCAAACAAAATGTTGCAGCAATGCGTATTTTTTTTTTTCTTTTCTTAAATCTTCTAACTAGACACAAGCAACAGAGAATTGATAGTGATTGAG